GCTCTAAAACCTTACTAAAACCATGGAAGTTTTGGGGTGTGTAAGGAAGGCAGGATAGCACAGAGAGATTAATTTCTTACTTACATTTGTCTAATAGTTACCCTAAATGCTGAAATGATTTTGCTTAAGTTATGCCACTATAGCTAAAGAACTCCCCTTCCAACACTCCCATGGATACACATTAACTGTATTAAGTAATATATATAGTAAAGGTAATTATACCAGAATCACGTATTGTGAAGGGAAATGTTCTAGGTAACAAGATGAAATCTCCTCTTAATTGCCACTTCTCTAATGAAGACAGAGATAATTATCCAAACTTCTTGGCAGAGTGACAGTGCGTGAACCTCTTTGTCAGCCTGGCCGACATTCTGTAGCTGCCCTAATCCTCCACTGTTCTACCAACTACTCTTCAGAGCATCTACCAACTGTTTATGTGGGGAGAGATTGATGTTATTTTAGGAGCATACCAGATCTCAGGTCACAGCGTGGCCAGTCCGGGATCAAACGCTCTCTGCTACCTAATTCTTGAACTGTCTAAGTTCAAAAGCAGGAAGGGCTGGCCCAGGTGGGGTGCAACCCCAGGGACTGTGAGTACTTTAGTGGGATGAAACGGTGTCCCAAAGCTCATCTTGCACAACTCTGAGCTGTGAGCGCCTGTCTGGTAACTGAGGCGCTCAAGAAGCGTGTGCGGAGGACACCCACGCCAGCCTGTGCACTGCCTCAGGACTCGGGAGCAGGCTCTGGATGCCGCCCAGGGGCTCAGACTCCGTAGCGGGCACTAGTCTCAGATCGGGCAATGCCTCTGAGCTGGACCAGGGCGCTAAGGACAGTGGTGGCACCAACAGCGAACGTGCCCGTCCATCAGCCTGGCCACCAGCTCCCCGTGCTGCCGGTCCCCACCCTCTGCCCCGGAGCAGACCCCCTTACCTTCCCGCTCCGAGGCACAGCAGCCCTCCGCCCCGAGCAGCGCCAGCACCACCCAGGGCAGCAGCACCGCCGGAGGCACCATGGAGGCGACTTCCCCGCCTGGATCCCGGTCCGGGAGCCGATACCGACCGGGAGCGCTGCCTGCGGCACGGCCAGCAGGACACCGATCTCTCGGCCT